TTATACAGTGTAAGAAGAAGTATCCAATTTAAAAAAAAAGTGTCCAATTATAAGGCTTCCTACCCTCCACTGATCATTTCCTTCTTTCCTTTTTCCTTCCTGCTTCTACTTTCTTCTGGTTTTTATCACTTGTAATTCTACCTTACTCATCTTTCCTCGAATTTGACCTAAAGATTAAACCCATTTTTCCTCCTGAAAGCATATTATGCTCATTTTAGCCCTCAGGTTCTCTGTACAAGTCCAGTCAGTGCCCCCATTTGCCTGAAGGGCAAGGCCTGCAAACTCTCCCTTCCACAGATGTAAATCTCTTAAAACAAATACCGCAGGTAATAAGATTGGTCTGTCTCAGATCTAGGAGATGACAGGTGCCACCTGTGGGACTTTCCCATCCCTTCCATAACATTTGAACATCACTGCAAATCAACAGCGGAAGTCACCTTGAAGAAGTAAACTGTTACAAAACAGCAACTTGAGGCCTGGAGAAAAGTTGCCATAAGGACAGAGGCTGACCAGAATGTCAGCTCCAGGAATATTAAGAAGATTCCCCCAGTCAAATTATTGAGGTCTTCCAGTAGTTGTTCCATATGCCTCTGCTCAGCCACTGCACCTCCATGTAGTTGTTTCCAGGATGACTTGGAAAGGAATAAAGGAAGAGTTTAAAGTATTTTTTCTTCCTTAATTCAAAAATGGTATGCATATTTTAAAAAGGAAGATAATTAAAACTCAAATACGTTCTGATTAAAAGTTAGGTGAGGGCCCTCCCTGGTGGCACAGCAGGTTATAGCACAGCACTAAGAAGCTAAAGCCACTTCAGCATGAGTTCCATCCCCACACTGGCAGTGACCCACACGGCGTGGCAGACCTTTTCTGAGTCACCTGCTGCTCCCCTCAGCAGTGTACTTCATCAATCTGCCTCTCTGCTCCCCACTCTGTCTCTGGTGACTCCTCTCACAGCCCCTGTACCTCTGGCCTCTGTACCACTTTATTTATGTATGCATAAGTAAATCTATTAAAAAAAAATTAAGGTGAAGGAAGATAAAACAAACTTCCCTCGCCCTCTCATCACCACCACTATTCCATACATCAGTCCTGTGAAGTATTTAAATTTAAGTAGCTTAGGAAAAGATAGTGCTTCATATGCCCCAATCCAACCTACTCAGTTTCTCTACATAGAAGTTAAGATGAAAGCCCTCAGCTTGATCAAGGGGTAATTTGCTCTCCTTAACAATTGTTCTCAAGCTCATCCATTGAAGGCATCTCATGGGAGGAATGGTTGTAAGTAGGATTTATATTCTCTTGGACATAATATTACTGTAAAGCAACCCAATAGTCCACATCACCCCAATATTCAAAGCTGTCATAGCTGTTAGCAGATTCACTGATCAAATAAAATCAAGAAAATTAAATACATAAATAAGTAAAATCAAGGTCCAGAGGGTGGAGGCCACAAATGAGGTACCCAGGGGAGTTCTGGCAAGTACTGATCATGAGGGCCATGTTAGGGAGGATTGAACAGCCGCAGGCATCTTGAAATGTTTGGTGTTGGGTAACTTTTCAAAGGAAGTTAGAAAAGATAGATGGGCAGGGTTTTGAAATAGAATGGGCTTTGTAATTATGTCGATAGAGCTGTTCTTCTCATGCTCTGTGTAGGGAAGACCAGGTATGTTTTGAGGTTATGTTTGTTGATTTCTATGGTTTTAGTATCAGTCCATTGTGAACTGACACTTTTATACAACAGAATTGAATGGAAAAATTAAATGTACAAAAACATACAAAATCATGCCCTATTTATGATTAGCTTGAGCAGACATTAAATTATATTTCATTAAATGAAGTCATAGAGAGAACCTTGTTCAGTGGTGTATAGGTACATTTGAAAAAGCTCTGTCTTGGTTTCTGTCTTCAGGCAGGTAATAAACAGGTTGCAGATTAGTACAGGCTGTGGGCCAGGCTTTGAAGGAGTAGCTTATAAAACAGGTGTCTGGGCTGTTAAAGAAAGGCAGGGCACCCCATGTTTACTGCTGCTTTATTTACAATAGAAAAGACATGGAATCAACCCAAATGCCCAAAAGTAGATGAATGGATTAAAAAGATACATATACACAACAAAATATTACTCAGTAACCAAAAAAGATAAGCACATGCCTTTTGCAGCAACATGGATGGAGCTGGAAGGGATCATGCTTAGTGAAATAATCCAGAAAGAAAAGGAAAAATACCTGCTATGGTTTCACTCATAGCAGGAGTATAACCAAGGGAGAAAATAATAATAATAATGAACAACTATATACCAGAGACATTTTATGGGAGTGGAGTGGGAATGGAATCAAAAATGGTGGGGTGTGGGGTGGGGATGGAAGTGCAGTGGACTACGGTGATGGCACCCGGGTGATTTGGTGATGGGAAGCCCACAGGGATTACAACTGAAATGGAAAAAGGCACAAAATGTTGTAAAAATAAACTATTATATTATGTTTTAAAAAGAAAGAAAGAAAGACGGTGCAATAGGGAGACCCATACTTTGTCGTTGACACTTCTAGGCAGTAGTTGTATAAACTCTCCTGAAATACAGGAGGCTCTAGGAAGAGAGAAGGGATGGAGAAAACAAAAGCTCCATGCTCCAAAGCAGCTCATGAGAACAACTGAACACAATACAGCAAATGAGAAACACAAGGCCAGCCCCACGCTTTGCGCCGCCTCGAACTTACTCAGCCCAGCACAGCTGCTGCTCAGCCATCCAAAGCAAACACGACTCCCCCCATGGCAGACTCAACAGAACAAAAACCAACACCCAGAGATAAATTAGATCGCAAGTTCATCATGTTACATAGCCCACTGTTCTCAAATCCAGGACCCTGGATATAATAACAGATGATACTATTAGCCAGAACAGGAATCCAATGCCAAAACCAAATAACTCATCGCTGTAAACCAACATGATTCTCAGAATTTTCCAGGTCAACTACAAGAAAGACTTATGAGACTGTCTTCCCCATTAAGCTAAACCTCACCCATGTCTAATTGCAGTATAGATGGCTAAATCCTCCTCCCCTAGGCAAAGCCAGCTTGCCTCTTAGATGTCTAAGCCACGGGGAAGTCTCAGAGGGGGCAGCATGTGGCCAGGTTGAAAACAACATGGAGCCCAGGACCAGCACATAGGGCTTAAGGTCTGAGCCCGCCACCTGCTAGACTGGTAATTTCCAGCAAGTCCACCTTCACAAAACCAGACTCAGACAGCCACCTCCCTGGGAAGACAGTTGAAAATGCTTAGTAACTTATAAAAAGCTGTGTGGATGTTAGTCCTGACTACACAGAAAATAGCAGTTGAACATGTTTTTAACTATGTGCTTCCCACCCTGCGCCTCCCCAAAGAGCTTTGTCTTTTACACAGCTCATTTCTTTCTCAGTTCAAATCACTTCCACATGTTCCACATTATCTTCCTGATGGTCCCAGTATCACTGGGATATAATAAGGAGCTGGCATGATCAGGTCACCTTACATTCACAAAGATGATACACAAGATCTAAGGCACATCAGCAGTGGCAATGATGACTTAAACATTCACAGGGCATTTGGTTAGAACTAACAAGTTAATTTAAGTTTGTAGTTTTCTTAATCTGGCTCCTTGTTTCACCTTCAAGTGTCTGCAACAGGAAGGCTCTACTCTGCATTGGTTTGTAAAGCACAAGCAGACTATTTCTCCAAATATGTGTTCTGGCCATGGACTTATTAATATGCAAGTGATTTCAGGTCATGCAAATGGCTTGTTTCAGGTTATATGCTGAATAACCCTAGGCAAATTACCTAGCAACTCTGAGCCTATTTCTTCAGTTACAACATTAATAATACAGTCATCCTAAACTCCTTACAGACATAAGGCATGAAAATATGTCAATGAGCATGTAAAGAGAATTTTGGAAAAAATTCCAGGCACTTTACTTATATTATTAAATTATAATGGTTAATATAGAATATGTAATTATAATATTATTTATTATTATTCATATTGCCTTATGCTAGAAAATAACAACTTGGCAGGTGTTTCTTGCAATTTGTCAAGCAAAAATATCTCTGGCTTTCAACCCTCCTTTAGAACCAAAAAGAAGATTGGGTAAATATATTTTAGGGGAAAAAAGAAAATATGTGATTTTTTAAGTTATGGGAGTTCTGGTGCCTGAACAGAATTCTATAGAATCTTAAGTCTCATACCTTGTACAGTGAAGAAGAAAGTACTATAGATAGACTGGTAATGCATTATCATATGTTCCTGGAGAGAAATGATGAAATCCAGCCCTTGATTTTTTTAAAAGATACGATTATTGAGGTCCTGAATAAATACATGGTCATTTTCAATTAAAAATGAGTAAAAGAAAGACTCAAAATTTAAAATATGTTGCCAATGTTCTCCTTTAATAACATTATGAAATCTCCCAAAAATGTAACTAAAATTTAACCAAATTTGGTCAAATTTAGAGAAGATGAGTTGCCTAGGGTTTGGTTTGCTACAAATCATATGGGTTTCTCTGGATGCCATTCAGAGCTTAGCTAAGCTCTCTTGTAATGCAACCAGGATCCATGCAAGGTCCCATGTTGCCCTACATTTAAAAATCTAAATGAAAAATAGAAATAAGATATGATAGCACCATTTTCTGCCAGGAAAAATAGTGAGTATTGTTATAGAGCAATGAACATCTTTGAACTCTGTTTGCAACTCAGTTCATTTAGCCTGGATCATTTTTATCCTTTCATCATTATGTTCTCCATATAAGAGATGGTTACCTCCAGAAACAAGTCCTTTCTTGCATACCTACTTCTCCCCAAAATAGGTGCTAAAAGCATAGACCTAAACCTCCTTAAACTGATACCACATTTAAACTTGGATATGAGACATCTCTAGAACACTTGTGGTGAGAAACTTAAATTTGCAAGACCAAGACTTACCCTTCAGAATCTTCTATATCAGAGTATTTTATCTCGTCTCCTTAACTACACCATTAAAATGACTAGTTTTTCTTCTTTTTGTTTATTTTTCCTAATAACTGCAGCTTATATAACTCTAAGGTGTAAGTATGTCCTATGCCTACCACATGTAAGCACTAAATGGATTTCTAGCAAGTGCATTGCTACATTATAAATAAAAGTGACTTTTCACAACCACTTCTGTACTTCTAAATTGTAGTAGTTATTCATCAGTAAAATTATAATAAATCAGAGAGTGACTTTTTAATCTTTAAAAAAGGTATTGTGGTTGTCAAAAATAATTATGTGAAATTATTGGTTTGGGTTTTCATTTAAATGTTGTGGCCTTCTTTTGTAGGTTTCAACATGAAAATTATCGGAGGAAGAGAAGTATCACCCCATTCCAGGCCATTCATGGCTTCCATCCAATGATAAGGGCAACCAGATTTGTGGAGGTGTGCTGATCCATCCACAGTGGGTACTGACAGCATCCCATTGCCATACTAGGTGAGTCCTTGCACTTTTCAGATCCTCTTTTTCCTTCTAGAAGCTTTTCTTCTAGAAGGAAATTCTCTCTTGCTTACAAGAGAAGTTCTTCTCTCCAGGAGAAAATTCAGCTTCTATGATCACTGACTGGTGTTTATTGACTTTTCACACATTCATTGAGTTTCCTAAATTTTATTTTCAGGGAGAATTGGGCTACCATTTCCAGGGCAAGCTATTGGACAAACTCAAGTCCTCCATCTAATGCAGGCAGCACAGCAATAGTAAAAACTGAAACAACCTTGTTAAGTCACACTTCTGGGAAAATCAAGACAACCTGAGCTAGTTCTTTGCACCTTAATTTTCCCCATTTGACAAGTGGGTGATAGTAATAGTAACACTGACTTCATGGGGTTTTGAGGATTAGACTTTATTTAAATATGTTGGCATGCTTGAATACAGTCTGTATGAATAGTAAGTTACAGAAAGTGATGATGATGAGGAGGATGAGGATGACAATGATGATGACATGGTGATAAGAGGCCTGCTTTCCTAATGGATCTTTATACTCCTTCTATTAACTCCTCCCACCCCGAGAGGTCTGAGGCCCACATTTGGGAAATCACAGCTGTAAGAGACAGCAACATTCACAAATGAAGAAAAAGTTATAGACAACTTACAGATATAAAGAGATATTTTCTGTGGGATATGTAGAGTGAAAGTTTTTCTGAAGACAGAATATAGCTCTCAAAATCTATTTCAACCTATTATTCTCTTCTTTCAGCTAAAAAAAAAGAGTGCAAAATTCTTTTGGGATACTGCAACAATCACCAAAGAAAGCAATAGGAAACCAATTTGATGTTTTTTTGTTTTGTTTTGTTTTGTTTTTAGGGGAGGCATTGTTTGTTTATATATTTCTTCTTTGGGTTTCTTGTCTAAATAAGCGAAGAAGAGATGGGCCTTCTCCTTTCCTTCCAAGGCTTATAGTGATTCCCTATTTTAACAACTGTGGTTGCTCTTTCTGCATCAGTCATACATCTGAATGGAACAACTGGATTGACTTGCTTCTCCATATATTAGGGATTTTGTTTGATTGGTCCTATAATTTTTTTCTAAATATTTATTTTCATTTTTTTATGTATACAGACAGGACAGGCAGGCCTACTGAAATACACTGCTAAGGGGAGCAGCAGGGAGACAGGAGAGGTCTGCTGCGCCTTGTGGGTCACCTCCCTGGCTGGGGACCCAACTCAGGCTAGAGTGGTGATACTTAACCTTGACACTTAACCTCTAGGCTGCCAGCAGTGTCTCCTCTTGAGACTTTTTGAAGACAAAGTGAGAACTTCTGTTTTGTTTATAAACAAGACTGCTTCATTTAATTGGGGTTCTTTCTGTCATGGGAAGCACCCAAGAGTCTCCTTAATTATGGTTCTTTTCCCCCTTTTGTGGGATACCATTTTAGTTTACCAAAATTCTCTCTATCTCTATCCCTTGGGGACAAGTGAGGCAGAGAGTGAATAATAACATTCAATTCAAAATATGCGCATCTTTAAATATGCACATTTTTAAATGGATTTGACTTAGAGTTTGGCTTAGAAATGCTCTTCACATGCTAGAGGAAAGAAGGGATTAACTGAAGGTTTTTGGGTTTTGGTTTTTATTTTGCTAAACCAAAAGCAGTGGGTAAAATCCTTCACAAACCATAACTTGCTATCCAAAGTTAACTGGTATTATAATTGAATTTTAAATTTTATCAAGTGAACTTGACTCAAGAGATGTGGGTTCCTAAATTGCTCACTTGGAGCAATGAGATTATAGAAAGGCTAGAGAAAAGTTTAAGGGTTAAAATAAATTCCTATTGCTAACTATCATTTTAAATAGCTGGAGTTTATAAAGAACTGCTGGATATGTTGATCAAATTTCCACTATGGGACACTTGGGTGTAAAATATGTAGGCAGATTGGTGCTTAGAAAAATATGAGATTTATGAAATCTCAAATAATTATGAAATACTTCAGTGGTGGCTTCCCACAAATGTCCTCCGAAATATCCTGTGGGAATAGCTTACTACCCCCCTCTCTCAGCAAAATGGTAAAGGAGACAAAATCTGAGATGCTCCCTGATCACTCTCCATCCACCCAGTTCCTCAGTATCCCAGCCCCTTTATTCCTTGTTATGTCAATTATAAAAGGAAAATCAGTTTTAAAAAATTTTTGTATGATCCCATTTTCATCATTTTAGTTTACCAAAAGCAAAACTCTCACCACTCTTGTCCACTATCCTTCCCCAGTGCCTTCCTCCCTGGGCACACCCCTCCTCTCACCTGCCCAGCTGATGATTAGATGGAGGCCACCACCGCCCCTTCCATACCTCACTCCCTTAGTCCCCCAAGACTTCCAAAGTAGAACGGTTAAAAATTCAGGTTCTGGCCCTCCCTAGTGAAGCAGCAGGTTAAAGTACAGCACTAAGTAGCTAAAGCCACTTCAGCATGAGTTCATTACCCGCCCCGGAATGGACCACATGGGGCGGCAGACCTCTCCTTACCCACCTATTGCTCCCCTCAGCAATGCATTTCTTCAGTGGACCTGTTCTGCTCCCCACTCTGTCTCTGTTGAATCCTCTCACTGCCCCTGTACCTCTGGCCTGTACCCCAGTTCTGTATGCAGAAATAAATAAATCTTAAAAAAAAAAATTCAAGCTCTGGGTTCAAACTGAGTTTTTTGGGTTTTTTTGCTTGTTTGTTTTTAGATTTATTTATTTGTACAGAACTGGGGTACAGGCCAGAGATGCGGAGGGTGAGAGGATTCACCAGAGGCAGAGTGGGGTGCAGAACAGACAGATCCACGAAGTACACTGCTGAGGGGAGCAGCGGGCGGGTCAGGAGAGGTCTGCCACGTCATGTGGTCACCTCCGGGGCAGGCGGGGATGGAACTCATGCGAAGTGGCCTAAGCTTCTCTGTGCTGTGCTTTAACCCGCTGCGCCACCTGGGAGGGCCTCAAACTGAGTTTTAATCCCCCTGGCCCTTACACCCTGGGGTTCTCTGCTTAATGTCTGTGGGACAGGTGTGTCAAGTTTGTAATTGATGTGCCCCTCAGTTTTCTTATTTACGAAATGGGCGTAGTCACTATACACACCTCACAGGGTTGTTGTAAGGTTTAAGTGAGGGAGACTATGTGAAATAATTAGCACAAAATCTGGCACACATGTAACTTTTGTGTTGTATTGTTATGTCATTATATTGTTATCTGATATCTGATAACTGAGGAACAAATATAACATCATGCTGAAGAACAGGACAGGGTTTACAGAGGAGTCTTGGAATTAGCGCCAGACGTGGAATCACAAAAGCTGGGTCTTGTCTCCCCACCATATAATGCGTGTCACTTGGAGAACCTCTCCACTGTAGGGATGGCAGCCCATCCTCTTGCCAACACGGAGAAGGGTGATTCTTAAGCTCAATGGAAACAAGGCCTTCATCTGCCTTCAGCAGATAATGAAGAGCATGCCTGAGTTTGGCTGCATGCAATTCTGTTCCAGCTAAGTCCAGGGCAGAACTCAGAATGCTGCGTTTTAAATAAATACTTCCACATGATTCTGAAGCAGGTGATCCAAAGGATCCTGTGGAGAAACACTGTGCTGGACAAAATAAAGAACTCTGGTATCATTCTTCTCCTCTGTGTGGATTCAGACCTGGGGTTACCTAAGGCAGTGGGTTCCTAGGAGTCAGGTAATTCCAGGTATCCTGTGGGCAGATTAGGACAGGTTACACTTGGAGGATATCCAGAAATGGAAACATCAGAAAGTATTCCTACTCTTCTGGGGTGTCTGGAGTACTAAAATGGATGAATGGAGATGAAAATAAACAAATATTTCAAAGGCATTAACTAATGAAGGAAATCGGCAAAGGATGAAAAAGACTAGAAATTTTCTCAGAATCCTGTCCCTATTCAGAATTCATCTTCTATACCCTTCCTTGTGTTATTATGTACCTCGCAGTCTTCCTTATATTAGTTATTTACACATGCATCTGTCTTTTCTGTTAGGGCATTAGTCCTGAAGATTTGATATCATCCTTCTCCTCCAATATTTTGGGTTTAGCAAGTGTGTTGACCTTGAGTTTGAATCAATCCTAGGAAATCTGATCCACATCATATGAGAAATTTCATCCTTATCCTGATTTTGCAATAGGTAAACTTTTCCACAAATCGAGCTGGAATTCCCAAAAATAAAGGAGGGAAAATAAACTCTTTTGGTAGCAAGCAAAATGTGGTCATTCCCAGGGGTTATAACCCTGCCAAATGCAAGCTCACCCCACCATAATCATGTGCTTGTTCCCCAAAACTGAAAAAAATTTTCTTCTTTTTTCTGTATGTTCTGTGCACTTTTTAATTTTTATTAATCTTTACTAACCTTTACTAATATATTTAAATGACATGTAGATTTATGTTGTAATCTTTCTTGATCTCTTTTTGAATTGGCAATGAAATAACTAGTGTAAACAAATAAATGTAGTTCTTTTTATAGCCTTCCTTGTTACAAAAAAGAATTTGAATTCTTAAAGACATACATTAAAATAAGTTATTTATTTGAAGTATGCAAATGACTCTAAGGTGTTATGAAGGTCTCCAAAATATCATTTTTATTTTCATAACTAGATGCAGATGTAATTTCCATTATTCAATAGGTAATAAGTCAGATCAATTACGGCACAATTGAAACTCTGGTACTGGAAGGTATATGACTAAGAATTTTTTTAAACTATTGTTTCTTCATCTAATTCACCAGTTTCTATCCTCCAAATCTCCACAATGGAATTATCAATGACTACTAACACTAACATATCTTCATTTCAAATTTTCAAATTAGCAATGAATTTTCACCTTGAAGAAAGTTTTCCTTTCTTGTTCAAATCATCTTTCTAATTGAAGGGGCAAACTACATGAGCATATTTAAGAGCCATACCATGGACATCGCCTCTCCTATTGCCCTGAGGTAGAGTCTAGTCATACCAGATTAGCAAGTGTAGAGTCTTTACCTTTTCATTCTTATAATACTTATCATCGGAAAAATGAAACATTTGTGGAGCTTGGTGGTGGTAATGGATGGACAACAATGTAAATATCCTAATGTTACAGGACTGTACATTTGAAAATGGTGACATTGTATACTTTATATGATATATATATATATATATATGTCTTTACCTAAGAAAGCTTAACAACGGAGGGTAAAATGCAGAAGTCTAAAAAATACCATTTTCCTTATTTTTACATAAATTAACATAATTTTGTTGTAAACTTGATGTAATTAGGATGTTACCCCTCTCCCTTACCATAGGTTACAAGTTCTGGGAAATTAGAGGAGGATGGATTTGAGAGCAGCCTTTTGGACCCTAAATATCATCCATTCATTCTGGGGTCCACTGAGGACTAATCCTAAACAGGTCACCTTGTTGATGACCCAACTCCTCTACGCATCTGGCCCTAGTCACCATTTTCTGTTCCTTACTAAGAGATTTGGAAAGTATTCCATTGATTCTATTCTCTTTGCATTTTTTAGGTCTGCCAGAGACAAGTCTTTCAAAGTGGTTTTAGGAGCACACTCCCTCTCAAAGAATGAGGATTCCAAACAAACATTTGATATTAGAGAATTCATACCATTCCCACAATTTGGTTCAGATCATAAAGCGAATGATATAATGCTGGTTAAGGTATGTAGCATTGCCTCCCTTCAGTTTCTCCAACATTCTTATACAGCATAGTTCACTGGTTAAGTCATCTATACAAAAGTGTTTCATTTGTAATTTCCCCAGGTTTGGGGTGATTGTGACATATTCTACAAGGGCCCATCTTACTCCATCTGCCACCTTGAAAGAAACAAGAATATATTGTAAATGCATCAGGACTATGTTTATACAAGCAAAGCAACTCTGACACTCACACATCTGGGAGGGGAACATCCGAACAGATCCAAGGGTCTATGCTGAAAATCTTTTCCCCAAATACTTTTATCATTACCTAGTGAAAAGTACAATAGAGCCAACCAAGTGACTTCTGGAACTCAGAAGTGAGTTACAACTTAGTCTAGACCATACTCATTGTAGTCCAAACTTACTTTAGACCATATCCAAGGGTCCTATCCAGCAGGAAATAGCCCAGCCTTCAAAGTCATGACCTATGGATGTTGTTCCACAGAAAACCATCCAAATCAGGGCAAAGGCCAGTTAGCTTGAGACTGGGCAAAATTCCTGCTTTCCGTAAGCTCCCTCCTCAAGTATCACTGACCTCTATGGGAAATGGAGAGCATGTTCAGAAAATCAGCAAATGCAGCTGTAGGCTACCACCAAAGTAGATTCAAGACGTGGGGCAGCCCGCCTAGAACAGAAGGACCACACAGACATCACTCCAGCTCATAGCGGAAGACTACTGGAGATGAAGGATAATTTACTCTCTTTTCAATCTGTCAGCTTCACAGAGCCGCAAAACTCAACAAACATGTCCAGCTGGACATGATATTCAAAATGATATTAGAGCTGGAACAAAATGCCAGGTTATTGGCTGGGGAACTATAGACCCTGAAGTCTTAATTCCCTCTGATACTTAATTCCCTCTGCAAGAAGTCACTGTTACCATCATCAATAGAAAACGTTGCAGCAGCAGGAGTTATTACAACCACATGCCTACGGTAACTAAAGATATGTTATGTGCAGGAGATGCCAGAGGCGGGAAAGATTCCTGCCAGGTAAGAAACTTTTGCTCAAACAGACCTTTCAGGCTCCTCTGACTCTTTAGTACAAGGGAGTCAGCATGGAAAACACAAAGTCACCATCCCTAGCTAAGGTTCTTTTCCTTTTCATCAATAAGTGTGAATAAAAACTTCCCTAATGCATAATAAGCACTCATCAACTGTATTTAATCAGATACTAGACTACATCTGATCACTTGTATAGGTTCTTCCAAAGGATGTCACCAATTTGGGGAATAGTTACTGGTGATGAGTGGTGAAATTATCCAAAACAATTATAATCATTGGGAGGTCTGATAAAGCTCAAATCCACAAAGCTCAAATATGCAGTATGTGTGTCTTAAAGTTGACTAAAGGAATAACTTATTTTTCAAAATCTTTTTTTTTCCTAAAAACAAGCAACAAAAAAAGTGTTCCTGTTTACAGCTAACAAATAGGTAGCACAGATGGATTACTAAATTTTTAAACAATTTTTAATTTTTGTATTAAAAAGTTTAATACAGGCCCTCCCTGGTGGCGCAGCGGGTTAAAGCACAGCACTGAGAATCTGAAGCCACTTCCGCATGAGTTCGATTCCCGCCTGCCGCCTGCCCCGGAGGAGACCACATGGCGAGCCAGACCTCTCCTGGCCTGCCCGCTGCTTCCCTCAGCAGTGTACTTCGTAGATCTGCCTGTTCTGCTCCCCACTCTGTCTCTGGTGAAGCCTCTCACCGCCCCTGAGTCTCTGGCCTGTACCCCAGTTCTGTATGCACAAATAAATAAATAAATCTTTAAAAAAAAAAAAAAAAAGTTTAATACAATCTTCTCATCATACTATATGAATCATCACAGTGGGGGGGGGAGGATCAGAGGCAGTTTGCCCCTCTTCTATTGTGGCAGCTGATAAGAGCAAGGCAGTTTGCAATATGAGCAGGCTGCTCTTCAGATTTGAAATTCTACCCCCACTTACTTCCCCAGACATTAGTTATGTGTCTTACTGTCAGAGTGAGTGCTCACAGAGCAATTTCCTGAGCCAGTGTTCACTAAGGGCAGTCAAATGCATAGCACTGTGTTCAATTATGGAGGCTGCAATAACAGAGAAAATAATAGACAAACTAGAGGCCCATCATCAGGACACTTGCTACAAGATGTTGCTCTTTTCTACCAGTATCAGTAGTAACTTGATTTCAGGTCCATTGACACCAAAATGACATTTGCAATTTAAAATAATGGCTTTAATTTCAGTGAGTTTTTGTATTTCATAAGCGTTATATCTGAAAGGGGCACTTTATACCCATTCCTTAACGAAGAAAGTGCAATAGTCACTGATTAGCAAAGGGTATATTTATATATATGGAGTCCTACATAGATACAGGGCCACAATACAGAGAGACAGATGAACAGAAACTTGTACTTGGCAAGGGAGCATGTCAGACACTCTTCTGGACACAAAGTAAACCAGGACCCCAAAAGTATTCCTCTGAGTAATCAGGAGTTGGTGGTGGGAAAAGCTCACCACCAGCTTCTCACCAAGTATCTGTCCATATTCTTCTTTCCAGGGTGACTCGGGTGGCCCGTTGGTCTGCAAAGGCACCTTCTCTGCCATAGTATCTGAAGGTCATGAATGTGGGAATGCCCAAAAATCTGGGATCTATACCCTGTTGAACAAGAAATACCAGGGTTGGATCAAAAGCAAGCTTGCCCCACTGAGAATACTAAGTATTTTCTTGGATATACCAGTTGCTTTTTTGTTTGTTTGTTTGTGTTTTGTTTCATTTTTTTTCAGCATGTAATCCAACATGCTTTATCGTCCTCCATAATTGGATGTGGTGGGAGAAGAGCACAGCTGGGCTCCATCTCTGCTCCCTGATATGAGAAATCAAGCTCTTTTTCACTGGCATTGCCAATATATTTCCATTATGCTGATTCCATTCTGAGTAACAATTAGAAAACCATCATTTGTGGTAATAAATACAACAAATAAGGTCCCCCTCTGTTCTACTCACATACCCCCAAAGGCACAAATAAGTGACTAAACAAGACAGTAATGATAACACCTGTGATTTCTGCTGGACTGTCTTGAGCTATGTTTTTAAAATGAGAAACAGTCCTTTCAAACACCCCATTCAAAAATTAGCCAAATAAAGAAAGAATTACCAAGGTTTATACAAGCATTTAGGAGAATATTATTTTTTTTGTGCAACAGGATTTAAAGCAATGTACAAAAACCCCTTTTATAAAAGAAATATGAAATCAAAAGTAATTATATGAATAAATTGAGAGAAAGGAGGAAATAAGTTAAAAAAAAGACAATGAAGGCATGGGTGTTTTTAGTATTCAAAGTGCTATAATTTTCTTCCTGTACACTTGGTTCTATGCTTTATATAGTCAATGTAAAACAATCAACACAAATGTCAAGGGGAAAAAATGAACCTCTTTGTCCAAAAGTAGAGCTATTGGAGCTGTTACTGGGACTAGAGAAAAAAAAAATGTCTGCTATATTCTTTTAAGAAGGACATTGTGTGTGTCCCTACCAGGACCCCCTGAGAGGAGTATTTGCAGTACAGGTGGCAGCTTCACCCATGAGCGTGAGAACAGCCTTCACTTGCCCTCCACCAAAGCCACACTATCACCTCCCCTTCCTGGCCTCCTCTCCCCCACCTCCCTTCTAGAAACCACTCTGTTTCCAGTCTGAGTGATATTTTTGTTGTGTTTTTCCAATTGGGTTTTTTGGTTAGTTGTACTCCACAAATGAGAGAAAATTATCAGTAGTTTTCTAATAAAAGTAATTATCTTTTGTTTTCTCATGTATTTCACTTAGGATAATCACCTCAAAGTCCCTCCATAACTATTTTGTCCTTTTTTAATAGCCAAGTTGTATTCCATTGAGTAAACAAATCATACTTGTTTATTCATCTGACTATATTTTCTTTGACATTTAAAAAGTTACGCTATTACTAAGTGTAGTACCTTAAGATGGGGATTTAGATACTCTGGATTCACCACATAATGGAACATACTATTGTCTTTTTCGAATAACAAAAGGATTGTTGAAACTTCCCTAAGTTAGTAAAGCCTCTTGGAAAGTTTTCCCTAAAACCTGAGAGTTGTGTTTTGATTTTATACTCTGCAGTTCACATCAGTAATCAAACTAGATTAGATTGCCAGCAACAAAACTTCTGTCAACAGCTATTACTGATCTGGCAACTCTGAAATTGGAAGATAAACAGTTTATTTGGATAAGCTGCTGATGGTCAAGCAGCACTTGAAAAGCACCCTCATCCTTCCAAGGAAGCAGCATTTTATAAATATCCCAATACCTTCCCAACATAACCTGAGAGAATATAATATTTTAGTTTGTAGAGTTTGGGCTTTTAGAGATTATTTTATTCCATTTGTTGTCTCAAAGAGAAGTTCAGAGTCAAAAATGAGGTTAATATCCAAGCTCTAAAACTGCCAAAAATCTCAGGGAGAAATGATTTGCTATTGTCATCCTGAATTACCCCACTTTCTCCCTTCATAACTGTGGACAGAGACATTTGCCTTCATCATAAACAGAGAAAAAAGGCTTTATGTTTTACTTCATGCCCACCAGTTTTAAACAAAGTGACAGTACTAAAAATAATTAGGTCCAAATATAATGCACTAAATAAATCAACATTAATTTAGTTGAGCAACTAAACCAGTCTAGAATCAGATAGCAGAATTGGTCCTGCCTCTGACTCTCATTATTTTTGCACAAATAAGTCCCAGTTCACCCTGAGATGACAGGAGGAACAGTGTGTCAGGGTTTGAGGTGTCCCCTCAAAGAAAACCTGCTCTCAGTCCACAAGAATGTGCTTCCTTTTTGACTAAGCTCTTAGTTTTGAAGAAGACAAACATGTGATGAGATTAAAAATGCTCAGTCTGGCCAACACCAATAAACCCATATCTCTGGAGAGGTTTATATGCCACAAGATTATTGAGACACACCTGAGACTCTACTCATTTACCTTAGGAGTTGAGTCCTGAGTGCACATTAGCCAACCACCTGGGTCCTTGAATGTCTCAGCACTGCTTCTCAACATCCACACATGAGCTTCCTGTTTGCAAACATTAACTTCTTCAGTTTTTTGCTGAGTCATATCAGCCAACTCTAATTTGAAAATTTTTCCTCATCGCCTTTTATGCTATAATTGAAAGGATCATGTTCATTTCTTAATTTTAACCATAAATGTCTACCTATCAGTCTAGTAGCAGCAGCACTTGAGGTTCACTGAGGCTTCTCCTGGGAACTTAGACATTAGAATAAAATGTCTTCTGGGAGTTAAAACTTAAACTCCATACATTTTGTGTCAAAGTAGGAATACCAAAATCATTCTGAAGAGATGGTAAGGTCCCCAAGCCTGCAAGACTGACTGTAAATTGCTTGAAGGTTAACAACTCTTAAGACCAGTGGCCCAGCCCACAGGGGAGGAGAAAGTTGTGGCAAGAGCCGGCAACAAGTCAGTGAAGCAACAAGGATTGATAGAGCAGGGAAGGTGGGAACGTCCTCAGGCCTGTCTCTGGTCCTAGCTGTCCCATTCTTATTTTCTCCTGGTTCCACTAAACATTCAGCTGGCTAATCTAGTCACCTTCTAACACAGTGTTCACTACAAAATGATCTGTGGGCACTTTGCTTCCTGTGACAGCTGTCATTGCAAATTAACAAACACCTGCTTTTCTACATCTGTAATTTTCTTTTTTACCTTCAAGTGTGATCATTTGAATTTCTCTTTGAAAGTTGAATTCACTCTTGGTATGCTTTTTTTAAAAATCAATTTTCAATCCCTATATCAGTGAAAGTCAAACTCAGAGCTTTTCAAATTCACCAAATATTAAGCACCCCATGGGCTTTCCCCGAGGGGCAGTGGTGGTGGTGGGGGGACTCTGGGCATCCTTGCTCTGGCTGTGGCATGAAATGTGATTGAATGTGAAGTGACTCTACCTACATATTCCACTTGGTGCTGTAAGGGCAGACAATTTTTCCTTCTTCCCTTTTGATTCTTTGGCTGGTCTAATAATTAAGTTGACATAAGATGGACTAACAGGAGAAGAAATACATATTTAGTTTCCTATGCACAGTTGTACCAAAGATACAAACACCAGGACAGATCTGGTCACTATGACTTATTTGCCATTCTGAACTAAAGAGTGGGGTCAGGGCCTGGGGCTTCAGAAGGGAAGAGGGTAATTCACAGGACAATAAGGGGAGCAGATTTTTGGTAAATATACATGTGCCAGTAAGTCATATAAAAACATTATCACTACTGAAAACTTTTCATCTGGTATAGGCCCTGTCTAAGTTCTTCTAACAAGTTAAAGGAGAGATAAAATTTTTTCCTGAATCTGCCTGCCCTGATTTTCTTCATCTCAAAACAATTCACATGCCAAAGTGGTAGATTTTGCAGTGCATATTTTTCCATTTCAGTCTCTGATTATCCATAACTCCAAGTATTATTATGTATTTTTAGCTGTAGTCTTAGTTTCACTCAGTAGCAGAGACTGTTGGTTTGTTACTCAACAGACATTTCTTCTAATCACTGGTAACTATTCTCAAGTTTTATTTGGGCCCACAAATGTACATTGTAAAAGAGTATTTTTTCAATCTCTCACTGCCAATAGTGGTCAAGAAAATGTAAGGGAAAATCACCAACTAGGAGATTCCAGGAAATTATTTTAAAGGGAATGAATTCAATAGGAAGGAGAGCCATTTTTCCCTTTCTCCTTCCTTCTTTTTGGATTGTAGGTGTAAGGGCCTGAACCCCAGCAACAATGCTGTAATCATGAAACAAACTTGACTAGAAACATGGGTTAGTCATAAGAAAGCAGAAAGAAGTGGCTCTTTGCCAATCTTGTACTCGTTACCTGAGGCTTTCTTTTACAGGAAAGAGAACAAACACATATGTTTAATACACTATTATTTGGAGACTTCTGTTTTATACATCCTTACCAAATTCCAATAAAATCAGAAAACTAAGGCTTATGTCCCTGATGTATGTTTCAAGCAATAACAAGAAGGTATCTTTATGCCCATATGCCAAGGTCCTCCAAATTTCAATTTGCTTTAGCTTTCTGTCTCACCCCATTTTTAAAAAGTATTGATTCAGAAATGCAACTATGAAATGTTATAATCAATAAATCATTTTCTGTTCACAGTTCCATCCTGTGGCTTAACATGGAGAAAATACTCTGACTTACTTGAGGAGATATTTTTATCTTAACCACATACCACTGTGTGGCAGATATTGCTGTTCCTATTATAAAAATTGTACATGGTACTCAGTAGCCTGTAACAATATTTTTTTCCTTTTGTGCATATTTTGTAAGTAGATCTTGCAGAACTGTTTTCTGTAAAGTTCCATGAAAGTAATATTTTCTGGCATTTGAGGTTATTATTTGTTTTATTATTTCACAATCACTTGAAATAATATAGTAGTTTTCCCAAACAAACTATGAAAGCTACTCCACTGAAAGATAGTTGGCTATAAGAAAAGTCTGACTATTAGTGGTATTGTAGAAAAGCAAAGCAGGCTCAATATGGTCAGACAGTACATCCAGATAGGCTTCTGAATTCTCACTATTGAATATCCAGGGAGAGTCCTTTATTTACTCACTATACAAACTCTGCTGAAGACCTCTATTTATCATATTGTGGTAGTCACTAGAAAAATCAAGAAGAAAGAACACAATTTCTGTTCTTCAGTAACTCAATTTAGTGAGTGTACATGGACCCACAAATAAACAAGCATGCCCCAAAAATTGTTATAGAAGTGATATGCATAGAATAGTGAGGTGTATGTTTCTATATAAAAACATAGAATATATACAAAATAACTACATGATGATCCAAAAATCATTATTATGGCTCCACGAACATGGAAATAGAAATCTACTTAAGTTTGAGTCATTTAGAATTCCTATGGGACAAACAATTTGCTTTCCCATTTTGGACCTATAGAGGTGAAATCTGGTTCATTTGTAGTTTGTCAACAACTCCACTAGGTAGAGAAAGGGAAAGCTCTAGATCAGCAGATTTGTACTAACCATCCCTGGCTAGTTGTAAAAGAATAAGAGTTACAAAATTGCTGAAACAAAACCATGTGAACAACAGAGAATACATTTATTCATTTTAAATCCTCAGCTTTTTTCCTGACCTAAACCCATTGCAAAGACATACAAGACCAAACAGCACGAATAGCAAATTTTTCTCAGGAGTAAATGTTCCATTTCTTTCAACAAGGGATGATTCAGCATGTTCCATGAATCAGAAATAGTTATTCATCTGCCCTTTTATAAGCTTGGTGTCCAGGAACCAGAAGAAGTTATGAACTCCCAACTTAACATGAGAATTCTAAGATACAGCCATGCCAGATTTTGCCTTGCCAACATCCTCTGTTCTCTTAATCAAAAAGAGGAGGGGAAAAGCAACTCAGTAAAACATTAAAACAGAAAATAAAACTAGGCTAATATATTAGTTTCTGTGGGCAAGTATTCTGCTTTGTCAATCTGGTGACTGGTACCTCATAGTGTCAGCTAACCAAATTAACCTGAGCAGAATATAGACTTCTGTTTCTTTAACTTAGCTGTATCAACACAAGGCCTCCATTCTCTTTCTCAGTGTTCTTACCTTTACATATATGTGATTAAATGTATTATACTTCAAATTAATTAGGAAAAATAGACTTCAAGAGCCCTCCCTGGTGGCACAGCGGACTGGAGTCTGCACTGCGAAGCTAAAACAAGCTGTAGCTGCTTCTGTGAGTTCGATCCCACCCTGGAGGTGAACCATATGGTTGGTAGACCTCTCCTGTCTCACCCGTTGCTCCTCTCAGCAATGTACTTATTCAATCTGCCTGTTCTGCTCCCCACTCTCTCTCTGGTGAATCCTCTCACTGCCCCTGCACCTCTGGCCTGTACCCCAGTTCTGCATGCAGAAATAAATAATATCTTTAAAAGAATAGATTTCAAAAAGGATTTTAGGTAGAAATCATGTTGTAGGATAGAAAAGTTGTCTCCTTCCCTTCTGGGCTCTTCGTCTGGTCTAATAATTAAACTTACATACACAGGTTAACAGGAGAAAAACATTTAATTTTGCCATATGGGGACCCTACCAAAACTATGGGCCTCAAAGACACTCAGATAGTGGTGGTTTATGTGCCATTCTGAGAGGAGGAAAGGGTAGGGGGACAGGGTTTTAAAGGAGAAAAAGACAATACACAGGAAGATGAGACAAGCAAATATGTGATAAACACATGACACACAATTACATTTATTACCTCCAGATACCACATTTGATTGTAACACAGTCTTTAGTGTCATAATCCAGCACTAAAACTTTCAAGAGTATCAACTCCTAAAGTCACACCCCCCTAGTAGGTTAGCAAGTAGCCCTATTTGGAATTATTAAAATACCTAGTAGGCTCATCAGTAAGTCCTATTGGTCATGCCCAGTGACTGCTACTTGCATCCAGTATCCTGTGTTGAGTTACAGCCAACACTGGCTGAATAACGTCAGCATTACCTAAGAGTTCTACTTGCGCATATTCCAAAGTCTTCACAATGACACTTTGATGTAGGTGCTGTGATCTTACATAGTATTTCATAAAGAGATACAGAGATTGATAACTCATTTAAGGTCCCATAGTGAGTGGTAGAGTGAATTCTCAGTCACATCATCCAGAGTCCACTTGTCCTATAAATTCATGCTCCAATACATAGTTTTTTTCACTATTAAGCATAAGTCACAACTCTCCTGAAGTGTTATCTTCAGCTAATTTTGCTAAGTATTTTAAAGTCATACTACTACTCCCTATGTATCCAACAAACACCTCACTATCTCCTTTCCCCTTTCACAGGAAGGACTGAAAATTCCACCTTGCAGTAAAATCTTGCTGTAGAGAATTAATGATATAACTTAGAGGAAGTTAACACTAAAAGTACAAACAAATAAGTAAAAACAGCTCCCAACCATTCCAGACACATTGTGGAGGACAGACCACTGAACTCTGAAAATTAGGGAAATATGAACTCTAAATCCAACTCTTCCTTGAGATGTACAAACTTGAACAAGTCATTTCATCTTTCTGGGCTTCCATATCTTCATCTGCCACAAATAATTTGTATTTAAGGTTTTTTTAATCCTAAAAATCCATGACCCTCAATTCAAAATGTTTCTCAACAATTATGCTGCTGGACAAGAGCAGTATATTATGTTCCTTGTTTTTGAAAAAGTGACACTACTGTTGGAATTCCCTCCTTTTTCAGATGCCACAGTAATGCCAAACCACAGCCACAGCTGTGGGTATCAGTATCAGAGACCAAATGGAAGAAGCAGAACCCTAAAAGGCAAGTCAGCAACCACACACAACTCCTCTCTCTAGTCTCAGTTTCACAGGTTTGGCAGCCCCCAATTTTTCAGTAGGCGAGCATACAGAAAAAGTATCTCAGCAAAGTCATTATTCTTTTTGTAACAATATTTGTTGGTATCTAAGGAAATGGGAGCCAGATGATAGGTCCCAAATACGGTCAGAGCAAACCTAAATGAACTTAGAGTTAAACTTGAATCAAGTGGGTGTTTCTTCATAGCTGACCTTTCATTACAATTTTTTTTTAAATATATGCATAAGTAGAGAGGATGCTATAATGAGTCTCCATGAACCCATCACTCGGTTTCAGTAGTTTTCAATGAATAGGTAATCTTGTTTCACCTGTATGCCATCCAGTACCCTCCCCCAACTCTGAATTATTTTAAGGCAAATTCCATCTTGATAGCACCCATAAATAATTCAATATATATCTCTAAGAAACAAAGACTCTTTTTAAAATCATGACCATAAAATATCCTTAATTGGCATATTTTAAAATTGATATTATTCTACAATTCCAATCAATATCCAATTAATGTACAAATTTCTCTAACTTTTTAACAATAAAAATTTATTCAAGTCGTATTCAAATATAGACCATATGTTGAAATTAATGTCTCTTAAATCTAAATATGTAGCTTTTCCTGCCATCATATTTCCCCCCAGTAATGTAGTTGTTAAAGAAACAGGCTATTTTACCATAGAGTTTTCCAAGGATTGTGCATCTCCAATGTATCCTTTAACATCTTCTTCTCTCCATCCTCTTTTGGCAGTGAGATCTAGAAACTTGTTTAGATTGAGGCTCAATTTGTCAATAGTACATGGTTTATATTTCTGTTAAGAACAAATAATATCGGCCCTCCCTGGTGGCGCAGTGGGTTAAAGCACTGCACTGAGAAGCTAAAGCCACCTCCACATGAGTTCGATCCCCACCTGCCCCAGAGGTGACCACATGGCGTGGCAGAAAGTAGGCTTTTATTTGTTTGGGGGTTTTTTCGTTTGTTTGCTTTTTGTCTGTGCACATTGGTGTTTCCAGCAAGCCAAATCCCTCAGCTGTAAACCAGGGAAAGATGAGACAGAAAACCTGAAGAAACTCACAACCTTGCCCCTTGGATCCCAGGTGCTACCCAGTTTTCCTTCTCACCAATTTTCAGAGTCTTCTTATATTTGTTTGTTTTTTTTTTTTTTAATTATACCAGGAGAAGAAAAGGGAAAAGTTTATCTACTTATCTTCTCTAAGGTGGAATTCTGGAATTACAATTTTGTATCTATCTTTTCTAATACTGATGTGTCAGTTAACATTTTATCACTATGACTCATCATTTTATCCTCATCTATTTATGTGTTCATTCAACTGAATTTATTGAGTTCTTGCCATATTTCCAATATTGAATC